GTTAAACATCATTTGTCTTTAGGGAACTGCAGACTGAAACAATGAGGTACCATTTTACATATATTACAATGGCTAAAATCCAAAAAACTGACAATACCAAATTCTGCAAGGATGCCAAACAGCAGGAACTCTCATTTATTGCTGGTGGGAATGCAAAATGGCACAGCCACTCTGGAAGGCAGTCTGACAGTCTCACAAAACTAAGCATAGTTTCTTACCATGTAATCCAGCAATCATACTACTAGGTATTTACCAAACTAATTTACAGATTTATGTTCACATAAGAATTTAGATGTGAATGTTTACAGCAGCTTTATTCATAACTGCTAAAATCTGAAAGCATCCAAGATGCCCTTCAGCAAGTGAATGGATAAATAAACTGGTACAACCATGCAATGGAATATTATTCAGTGATATAAAGAAATGAGCTATCAAATTCACACACCCACACACCCATACCCACCCACCCAACCACACAAAATGGGTAAATTTTAAATGTTTATTGCTAAGTGAAATAAGCCAGCCTAAAAAAGTCTACATACTGTACAATTCTAATTGTATTACATTCTGGAAAAGGTAAAATTACAGAGATAGTAAACACATCACTGATTGCCAGTGGTTTAGGGTGGAGGAAGGTTGAACAGGTAAAGCATAGTGGATTTTTTAGAGTGGGAAAACTATTCTGTATGATACTTTAATGGTGAATACAAGACATTAAGCATCTGTCAATACCTATAGAACTTTATAACGCAAAGAATAAACCTCAATGTATGCAAATTTTAAAAAATTATTTAGAAGGTCAAGGAATGCAGAATGTGACAAGAGTCCAAATGCATTACAAATGTATAAAACAACCTTACTGAAGGAAGTGGAAGAATAAAGTGCTACTTTTGGAAATGAGTGGTCTGTAAGACTAAAGACAAAAGGAACACAAACATTGTACTCTAGCTAATTAAGTTGTTTCCTATGAGGGTTAACAATTCTGAAACCACCACACATGTATACTGGAATTGAAAGTAAGTAATTTGATGGCTGATGGTGGGAGCCAGGTTTCTCACTGTTGGAAGGAAAGTTTATAGATAAACAAGGGAAGGGAGCTAGAAAGATCCATGTAATGGATTTGGGTTGGAGACATCAATTATATGCATGTTTAGCTCAATATGGACACAGATGGTTACACATAGAAATATTCAAAGATATTAGTATAAAGTATAAACACATATATCTCATGCTCTGTCAGTTGAAAGGGCCCAGAAGCAAGGCAACAAACACACTTAGGGCCTAGATCTTGGTTTTTCCAACAAAAGGAACCAAGGTTCCTCAGAGAAATCGTTGATTCTAAGACTGGAGCAGGAAATATAGAAGATGAGTATGGAGCATCTTGTAATACCAGAAAGTAAGAAAGTGTACATGCACAGGTATGTGCACACACAGACACACACATTGCAGGAAGTATGTCAAAGGAGCTAATTGAAAGAGCTCTCAAAGGCCAAAGCTAGAACAATTTGTACAATAAAGTAGTACTAAGTTATAACCCAAAGCATAAAAAAAATCTATGAGATAAACAGATGATTAAATATATACATGGGGAAACAAGACAACTCTCATGCAGAAAGATTCCAAATAATTTATGTAGATATTTTGCTCTCAAAGAAGTGGAACATATCGCCCCACTCCTTAGGTGTGTGCTGCATACAGTGGCTTTCTAAATAGTACAGTATAGAAAGAGAAAAAAAACAACTTCGCAGTGGAGAAACCTGACAAACACTACCTCAAACCAGAGAATCAAGGTTAACATCAACAGTGATAAGTCATGTGGATAGTATGTACCCTTAATATGTGATGAAAATGGCACATTATCTGCTGTCTTCCTCCCAAAACATTACCAAAATCTAATTGTGAGAAAAACATCAGACAAATCCCAATTGACATTCTACACAAAAACTGACTAGTAATCCTCAATACTGTCAAGAGGATAAAAAACAAAGAATGTCCGAGAAACTATCACAACCATGAGGTGCCTAAGGAGACAAGACTACTCAGTGTAATGTGGTATCCTGGATGGGATCCTGGAACAGAAAAAGCATATTAGGGAAAAACTGAGGAAATGTGAATAATGTATAGACTTCAGGTAATAATAATGTATAATAGTGTTCATTAATCATGACAAATATACTATATTAATATAAGATGTAATAATAGAGAAACTGGGTATGGAGTATATGGGAACTCTGTAATATTTGTGCAATAATTCTGTAAATCAAAAACTTCTAAATAAAAAGATTATTTTAAAAAATGAAATCGAAGCATTGAAAAATAAAGTTGAGAAAATATTCTAGAAAGTAAAACAAAAAGAGAGGGATGGAGAATAGGAGAAAGATTGGAAAGTTAGAGAATCAATCTAATAAGGTCCAATATTCAAATAACAGAGTCCAGAAAGAAAGTACAGGGGAAAAAAAGGAAGAAAGTGTCGAGTTAAAAATCCCCCAGAACTGAAGGATGTGGTCCCCAGGTGGAAAGAGCCGATTTAGGGCCCAACACAATGAATGAAAAACCCTTATCAAGCCACATCATTGTGAAATTTCAGAATACCTGAATGGTTTAAGGGGGAAGATCAAACTATTTCATACTGCAATCTGCATCCCCACCTTTCCTTTCCCCAATACTCCTGACCACGCCATCCCATCCTGCTCTCCTTTTTCTGTTTCTAAAGCACTATTTACTTTACAACCTTCTAATATTTTGTATAATGTATTTATTACATTTGTTGTTTACCATCTTGAACAACTCTCTCTGCGAATTTAAGTTCCATAAGGGTAGGGATCTTATATTTTGTTCACCTATATATTCAAAGTATCTTGACCAGTGCCTGCCACATAAAAAATGCTTAATACATACTTAGTAAATAAATATAAAAGCTTTCAGAGAGAAATAACAGGTCATATATTAAGGACTGGTTATCATTCTGGAATTAGACCTTTGACAGCAACACTAGAACTAGAAAACAATGTAACCATGCCTCCAAAATTCTAAAAGTAAATTATTTATAACCTAGAAGTCTATATTCAGCTATCAATCTAGTGTGAAGGTGAAGGTAAAATAAAGAAACATGTAGACATGCAAGAACCCCAAAAATTTGCCTCTCATTCAGTCTTTCTCAGGAAGCTATTAGAAGATATACTCTACCAGCACAAGGGAGACCCTAAGAAAGAGGAAGACTTAACATCCTGACATCCAACACAAGGGAAAGACAAACTGAATTCACAGACACTCTGGGGAAAAAGCTGTGCAACAGGCCTAGAGAGCAATTCGTCATGATGGACATAGTGTGATACAATTAGAGGAAATGTTGCAAAACAAGCAAAACAGATTATCTGATTTATTTGAATCACAAAAAAAGATTTGTATATCTTGTCTGAAGGGTTGTTAAAAGATTAAATAAAAGATATAAAAGATGCATTAAAAAGATATAAAATACATAAGAAACATGAAAGATTGATATATAAAAGAACTACTTATTATTAACCTTAGGAAAAACAAAAAATCATTTAAGAAAGGAACTATCATCACAATATACTACCAGGCTCAGGTGTACACGATATTTACATAGTTAAATGATGTCATTACTAAAAATTACTTAACTAAAAATTAACATGTAACTAATTCATGAACATAGGGGAGGAGCAGTGCAATGCAGTATTTAAAGGTGAAGGTCAGTGTAACAAACCTAAATTCCCATCTTATATAATAGAAAATTGGTAAACAATATCTAAAACTGGTAGGATGGAGGCATGGAGGGGAGAATGTGATATAAGCAAGCACGTTATTTAAAAAATTAGAGGTGAAAAAGAGTTGACTCTTGAGCAGCTTTTCTCAAAAAGGATTCTGTGGGAGAATGCCCTTAATGCCCTAAGGCATCCACTTTATGTAATAAATTAACTTCTCTCCTATCATCTAAAGTATTACTAGTTACATATCATCCCTGGGGGAATGGAGAAAATATTCAAATCATTTTCTGTGTTTTGGGATTCCGATGAGGAACACTGATTGAGAAAGGCTGCTTCTGGAGAAAGGGATTCAGGGGAGAGAAGGACTGGAGCAGAGGATTACTAATTTTCATTATAAGTCTTATAGTGTTAATTCTTTAAATTATGTGCAGGCATCACTTTGATAAACATAAACATTACATTAAAAATATAACAGTAAAACATAGTAAAGGAACTCTGGATATAGAATTATAAAAAATATAAGCACAGCAGCTTTCTCATGACAAAGAGCTAAAGAATTTTTCTTAAAAAATTACAGAATTCAATAAATACTATTTGTAAAGTATTTACGAATGTACTAAGCATTGTTATTCTATTTGCCTAAAAAGATACAAAAAGGGTAAGATAATCCAACAATTTGCAAAAGGTATGATAATGCAAATACTGTACACTACCTTTTAACATGAAATCTTATTAAGCTGTACATACTTCCCATTTCAATCCACCAAGATACATATACTGTACCAGTAATCTACCATGTACAGTAGAAGATACAAAAGAAATGTAAGAGATACTCCCTATTTTAAACAAGATTATCTGTTTTAAGTAATATGTTTACTCGGCCATTTACGTACTCTCAAATTTATAAACAAATATTTACAAAAAATTGTTTTTAAAAATCTCTTCATGATTTTAAAAAATTGGCAGCAACTTGGAAGATTAATCAGAAAAGCAGAAAAACCAATAGTAAGGAAATTCCTAAAATGTTTAAGGTGAAAAATGATGAGGGTCTGAACTAAGTGCAGTGCAGTGCAGATGGAAAGGAGATAGATACAAAAGTGGCTAAAGAATAGGCACCATTGGATAGTGAAAGCAAGAAAGAACTCTAGGATTACTGCCAGGTTTCTATAGTGGGTGACTGTGTACACCATATACTGACCATGACAGGCAATACAAAGATGAGCAAGATTGAGGGAAAATATGAGTTCACATTTGGCCTGTTGTTTGATGTACCTTGAGAACATGTTGGGGGAGATGTCCAACAGGCAGTTGGATATAAGGATCTGGACTGCAGGAGAGGAGTCTGAGATAAAAAATTGGAAATTGGCAGCACATAGTTGTTAATGGATGAAATCACCTAGGTAGAGAATATAGAAGAGGACAAGAGCCTGACATCAGATAACTAAAGATCACAATTAGCGTCCCTAAAGCCATTCTAGATAAAACTTTTCCCAGAGTTATATGTACTTCTATAGAAAAATATCCAATATATAATGTTAAATGACAAAAAAAATCAAGTTGCAAAACATCATCCTTAGTATAAACCCATTTTTACAGATAAGTTATGTAAAAAAACCAAAAAATAGTATTAGCAAAGGCACTGGAAAAGAAATAAGAGGAGCAAATGACAAAGTTAATAGTATTTATCTGAGACTATGTAGCCTTTCACATCTACATTATATGTCTCTATAGTATTTTACTTTTTTCTTACAAAAATGTACTACTTTTGTAAAGAGAAAAAAAGATAATTTTGTCCTTTCATATAAAAATTATAGCATGTATCCTTACAATATAAAAAGATAAAAATCTGTTAAACACTTAGACATTGAACTATAAATGGGCAAGTAATATGAACAAACAACTAGTAAGATTATGTTCAATGTACAATCTGCACTATCAAAATGTTCAATGTACAATCTGCACTATCAAAATAATGCAAATGAGAACATACCATTTGTTGCCTACTAAATCAGAACATAATTTTTAATAATAAACATACTCAATGGTGGTAAGAACGTGATAAAAAGAGCCTATCTCAGACACACTGATAGAAGTAAACTGGTATACTCATTCAGGGAAACAATGTGACTATGTATCAATAGCCTCAAAAAGATTCCTAACAATTCTTTTTAAAAATTTAAGAGAACAGTCCTAAAGAGCTGAAAATGTGCAAAGAGATCTCACCAAATCAATAAGTAAAACAATCTAAACACCAGCATTAGGACACAGCAGAAAATTATGCAGGCATCAAAAGTAATGCTCATGTCTATCAAAACTTTAAAAAGTACATACTCTATGACCTAGCAATTCTACTTCTAGAGAAATACTAGCAGTTGTCCCCAAGAACACATCACAAAGAAATAACAATGTTGCAATGTTTATAATAGTGTTAACTTGCAAAGAACCTAACAGCCATCAATATAAAAATGATTACATCAACTTTCTCAAATGGAGTCTGAGGTTCCTTGAAGTACCCAAGAGCTTTTTAGGGGGTCTGTGACGTCTCTCCTTTTCCAAATATCTATCTGTGCAAGGCTGGATTTTCTTAATACACTTTAGCCTAAACAAGATAGCACACCACAATGAACAGAGAATCAAATATAAGAACCAGCGGTCTCCTATAAAGCCAGACATAAAAGTGATTTGCAAAAATGTAAAACAATGCCACCTTTCTCACTAAATTTTTTAAAGAAAATACAGTTATTCTTAAATAATATTTAATACAGAATGGCTTTATTATTGTTATTTTTAATGAAGCAATAAATTTTAAATCTTGAGTTTTAATTTCTAAAATGGTAAATATACTGCATTAGAAAACAAAAACTTTGTCTTTAATAATTTTTAAGCATGTAAAATCCCTAGACCCATTTGGTTAAATAAACTGCGATACCATCGCATTATGTAACATGATTGGGAATGATAATTAAATGGGAATTTAGCTTTATAATGTAACCGTTTCAAACGATATTTTGCTCATGCACTACTTATGTAATCAAAAAATCATAAATTTATGTTTGTTTTTTTAACTTATGGGAAAATACTTAAAATGTAATTTTAAGAAAGGTAATCCAACTGTATATAAAAATCTCAACTAAGAAAATACCATGGGAAAAAAGGTTGGAAGGTAAAAAGTCAAAATGTTAACTGTGGTTGATTATCTTTAAATAATAGAATTATAGTTGATTATTTTTCCTTATTATTATATTTACTTTTTTTTGACACTAGGCATGCAGTATAATATCTAGAGGAGAAAAAAGGAAGAAATTCGGTGAAAAAATTATGTAAGGCTTCTAGATCAAACTATTAAACTTCTACCAATTCAAAAGACAAGCTTAAAATAATAAATTAAAGAACCTTAATCGACCGGCAAATTGCCTATTTTGTTAAATAAAATTTTAATTTATCAAATTTATGGGCTGGTTTCCAGAAGAGTCTAACAATAACACTCTTAGTCTGGAAAATAATAATTTGTTATCGCGGTAAAACAAATAACTTACTATTTTAAAAGTTAGGTTATCTTTTAGAATTTTTCAAAGGTACCAAAGAAAAAGTAGGTTAGTAGGGAAGGAACACCACCGCATCCTTGTGGTCTGAAGTGATGAGAAAATGCATCGGTGCGGGAACAGGCTTTACGACAGCACCCGCGGCGATGACAGATTCACAGGCGGGGGCCGAGTCCTTCCAGAGCAGAGGCTACTACTGCGCGAAAACGACAGTCCCCTGCAGCAGGCGCAGTCCCTCCCCGGCGGGACTGACGGCCCTGGGGGCGCTTCTCCCTCCACCCGCCGCGGCCCCGGGGGCGCTCAGCCGGCAGCACCAAGCACTCCGGGCGGCTCGAGTAGGTGGGACTCAGGAAACAGCCGCCGAGATTGCCCTCCTGGCCTGATCCTGCCTTTGCAGCTTTACCGAAGGGACAAGAGGCTTGAGGGTCGTCACTCCCTGGCCAGCTCAGGGAGATCGGAAAAGAAACGGGCCGGGGGCTCCAGCTCGGTCCCGGGAGGAAGAGGGCCAGACCCAGAGCGTAGGGCAAGGCGTCCAGTGGCCACCCCGCCCCCTCCGGGAGGGCAACAGAGGTGGGGAGAGGCCAAGATGCCTATTACAAGGGGCTCTTACCTCCCCACACCTCTGCGGGGGTCTCTGGGGACTCGACACGAAGCCAAGCAGAAGAACGAAAGGCTGCCCGGGCCGGGAGTCCCGGGAACGCGCGACGTCCGCTCCAGGTTAGTTTCCCCGACGAGGGAGCGAGCAGACCGCGCAGGCGCACAGGCGGCTTTGCTTCGGCTCTCACGCCGCCTCCCTCCGCGTCCGCAGCCTCCCGGGCGCGAGGCGCCTGCGCGCTGCGGTGCAGGCTCTGAGCCGGGGGCACCGGGTTCTTACAGGAAACAGTTAAGAAGGTTTTAGGGTGAGGAGGACGGCTGAAGATCGGCCTTGGATCTGGACTCGGTTTCCCACTAGATGCTTTGGAACCGGGATCCGGAGATGATCCACATCAGTGGCCGACTTCCTTTCTTTCGCTGACCTAGATGCAACTTCCCCCGCCCCCAGCCTCTTGCGACCTCTGAGCCGGCCGCAGCGTTCTGGCCTGTACCGGACACACCCTCCTGCCGGATTGCTAACCCAGCTTCGCTCTCCGCGCTGCTGTCCTCGGAAACCCAACTTTTTACTTCAAACTTGTTTTGCAACCTTCTCCTTCCTCTCGCGGCAGCTCCCAACCCATCCCGAGCTTCAGGCCCTCCAGCTGAGTGGCCATTCCCATCGGCTCTGTCCTTCCCTCTCGTTGCTTTAGTTCTGCTTTTCTAATAGTGACCACAAGAACAGCTGCCTCCCTTGTCTAAAAACAAATGCTAACTAATCTGTTGGCGGAAAAAAAAAGTGTCACTTATGTGATGCATATTTATACTTGCTGAGCTTTACTATTTTTACCACAAGTTTCCTATAAATTTAAATGAGGAGAGAAGAAACACCTCTGTGTGGGGTCAGGGTATCATTACCAGCTGT